CCACATCCCGGATATTCAGGCCGATATTTGAAAGGATAAACAGCTCAACAACTCTCTTATGATCATGGTAAGGATTTAAACATTTGTTCGGTATCACTATTTCGAATCGAAAGCTGTCACTTTAAAACTATCATGAGAAAAAAATTACGGGCTAGGGAGAACCTTGTGGCAGAATTAAGCAAAAAAATAGCCTATCTCAAAAGTTTCTATTTCTGTAATTTATGCTAAAATTTTTCTTTGCGCTAAAACAACACAAACTATCACTACGGTTGTGGGAGTATCCGATCGAACGGTTCTATGAAATTACGTGGATGACAGAAGCTCAAAACAAAAAAGAACCGAGAAGTTGCTAGCCTCACCAGTGGCAAGAAACACGACGGTGAAATAACAGCTGCCCAAAGTATCCAAGTAGCTTATCTTAAAAATACTATTCGTAAAAGCAGTAAAAAGCGTTACCATAAGGCAAACGAGAAATAGGCACTGAGAAAATCGTAGCTTCACATGCACTTTGCTGTTCCTCTCGACATTTTTCGAAATAAACACCCAATCGCAAGCATATGATAATTCCAACAAAGGCAGCAAAACGATGCAGACCGTAGCGGCTCTTCAAAATCTTCGAAAACGATTTTGTAGGTCGTTGCCGATGGCTGCGCGGCCTGCAATAGAACACAGTTATTAAAAAAAATTGGTCAACGCACGGGCTGCCGTGCGAAGATGTGTTTTTTGCATAGTTCCGCGCAGATTTTTTGTCGCTAACGGCATTGTTTTTTTCCGGCAGATGCTTCTAGCTAAAGGAAATATCCCCTCAAAACTCCAGTCTTCTTGCTTCTCAGGTCCCCGAGTTAGCAACTTACACGAAAAAAATCTTTCACGGGCCCTTAGGTGGGAATGACTCACATCCGGGGGCTAGGTTTGAGACCTCATGATATCAAATGGGCTTATTCTTCAACTGGGCGTTTTTTTTTTTTTTTCAAAAATTATAAGTAACGCAAAATGGTTCTTACCTGTATGAAAACGATTGCCAGAACGCCACTGCAACAGCGGTTTGCGTGAGGAAACGTATCGCGGATGACTCGAACACGATATAGCTGTTAGAAAAGAATGATAGGGCATGTGCTGTGATCAAACAGAACATGAAAATATCCCACATTGATGAGGTAAATGAAAATAATGTTGAGACGGTTCGAATGACGCGAATAATCAGCGAGAACGATAGTGAAGCGCCCAGAATAATTATGAGATGCTCCTCTTCACCGATTATGAATGCTGAGCATTGCACGAAAAATAACCCAGAGCGAAAAATCAGCGAGCTAATTGAAATGCTAAAACGATACCGATTATTACAACACACAAAACTCATACTGGCTTGGTTTTTTAGATTATGAATTTTGGCGCTCCAATTATCGACTACTACGTCATAGCACGGTTTTTTACTTATGCAGCTGGCAACTTTTCCATAACTGCACCGACCAGTGCTGCATCAGCTTGAGGCTAATTTATGGCGATTTTAATGTTCCATTTGTGAAACGTCAAAGAATTCACGCTGTACACAGACTCACATCAATCTAGCATTTTGTGCTGGAAAACTTTCAATAACTTCAATAAGACTTATTTCTAAAAAAAGTTACATATCAGTGTACAAAACATTCAGCAGCACCGTGCACTGATACGACTTGATTCCAACCCAATAGTGATGTTATAAAGGACTTAATGGAACGAAACATTCCTGTTCATCTGATTATTTTTTAACATATCTTTATGTTTTATTTATATCATCATTAATATCTTTATTCATATTACCCCAAGCACAGTGTAACTGAAGTCCTCTAGCACACCCCTAACTACTAACAACTGCTAAAGATAGGCGTATTTAGTATCGCCTGTAAAAAAGGGACAAATAAGAAAAGGAACAGGCCACTCATAGCAGTGATTTCTGGAGTGCCCCTTGCTTTTTCACTCTCAGTAGTCATAACTAGAGTGCATCTAACGTTCCCCAGTCATTCAGGAGAATGAAGTGATAAAATCGAAAAAAGTCAAGATTACCAGTACACTGGCTATCAGATGAAGTCTGGCTTCGGTTGCAGCAAATCATGGAAAAAGTGCCAGTTGCGCCAACAGCACAAAACAACCATTTAGTGGGTTTTATGTCAAGCGCTTCGAAGTTTCACGTCTTAATTTAGAAAATTACATAGCGAAATCAGACCCCCAGTCATGTGAGAACCTGACAGTCTAGACCGCTAATTGTTCTAAGCATCACAACCCTTTCACAGTCCGAAAAATCTATATTGAATAATTCTCTAACTTTCAAAAATTTCACCAATTATCCTCCGAAAAACAATTTTTTCCCTTTGCATTTCAACAAAACATAATTTTTCTTGCTTCTTTATATGCTAAAGATAAAAAAGGGAAATTTTATACGACTTTACGAAGTGAATGAAACCTTACTATCCGGTATATAAGGCATCGTAAATGGCTAAGACGGCATCAACTAGAGAAAGGAAGCCGATACGCATGAAGTTATCGTTGAATTCGGTCCAA